ATAGGGTCTCGGAACTATTTGCCTGGGCTGGCTTCAAACCATGATCCTCCTGATCTCTGCCTCCTGAATAGCTAGGATTACCAGTGTGAGCCACCAGAGCCCAGCCACTTTTTTTTTTTTTTTTTTTGCAGTTTGGAGTTTGAACTCAGAGCCTCATGAAGCAAGCACTCTACCACTTGAGTCACAACCCAAGCCCACAGTTTATCTTTTTGGTGCATCCTAGACTTGGCAGGTTGTTAAAATCTCTCACTTTGTGTTTCTCCTCATTTCTTCCTGTATTTCTTTTTTTTTTTTTTTTTTGAATTCATGTATGATATATATATATATTTTTTTTTTTTTGGTTTCTTTTTTTTTTTCATTTTTCTTTTATTATTCATATGTGCATACAAGGCTTGGTTCATTTCTCCCCCCTGCCCCCACCCCCTCCCTTACCACCCTTACCACCCACTCCGCCCCCTCCCTCTTCCTGTATTTCTAACAAATTTTGCCTTGTGCACTGCTTTTTGTTTTTTGGAGGGATGGGGTTTGATTTCAGGGCTTCACACTTGCAAAGGAGGCACTCTACTGCTTCAGTGACACCTCCAGCTCTTCATGTTGTTTTTAACAGAACGACTCTTTTTTTTTTTTAAGTATTTTTTTTAAAAAGTGATATTTATTAGGAAAGCAGATTTATACCTCAAAGGGAAATGAAAGGATTGTTGTCTTTTATAAATGACATTAAGCATTTTTGGTTTTTTCATACTATTTTTATTTCTATAATTCTACTTGATTTTTCCTAACTCAGGGCCTCACGCTAACTTGGCAGATTCTCTACCACTTGAGTCACATCCCCAGCCCTTTTTTCTTTAGTTAATTTTTTCAGATAGGTCCTTTTGCTTTTTGCCCAGCTGGCAATAGTTTTCTACCTCTCCTACATAGCTGGAATTTCAAGTGTGAATCACCGTGCCTGGCTCTAAATTTTTTTTGACAGTACTGGGGCTTGAACTCAGTGTTTCACACTTGCTAGGCAGGTGCTATACTGCTTAAGCCACACCACCAGCCATAAATTTTCTTTTCTTATATTTTGATCCCTCCACTATTTCCTAAAACTTAATTTCTCAGACTATCTGATGTGCTAAGGGAAAAGGGATTGGAAAAGGAGAAAGGAGGAAGGAGTTAAAAAGTACCAACTACAGCTTCCAGCAAGCAAGCTACGATAGCTCCCATATTTTCTTCATCTTATTATGCATGCATGTGTGTGTGTGTCAGTGAACATTTCAGCCAATTTCCTTTTTTCTACCCTTCCTGTTTTCCCTGCTACTTTATATGAAATGCCTGTTGGAATAAGCTTTATAATTTAGTCCTTCATTTACGGACAATTGTGTTGGGATTTTCTGACTGAACTAGAAGGGTAGTGAACACCACTGAGAATAGTGATTGGTGTGATTTACTTTGTATCTTCCCTCTGAAGCTTATCTTTGTTGAAATGAGAGGTTGCATTATCTCATGAGGGAGCATAGAAGAGTTGCTGTGCTTCTGTTTGGAAGCATGGCTACAGCTGTGTGTATCGATGTGGAGTACTGCCAATGTGGATCATTGTGGGCAGAGTGGATTACAACTCAGTATCCCTTCCTAACCTCCTTTTAGGATGCCTTCATAGTGTAATTACACTTTCCAGATGCCCCAGAAGCTACAGTTTGAGATGCAAATTGGGTTTTCCAATGAAACACATGATTCCAAATTTTTCTGGAACAGAGTTCTGATGTTGACCATTTACTTTGTAGGTTTGGAGGGTGGTTGCCAAGTGAGTAAACTTTGGAGTTAATTAACTATTCTTGGTTAGTTCTGTTAGTATATATGCTACAGTATGGGTACTAGGGTTTGAACTCAGGGCCTACACCTTGAGCCACTTCACCAGCCCTTTTTTCTGGTGGGTATTTTTCAGATAGGGACTTGGGATATGTCCCCTGGCTTTGAAACCTGATCCTCCTAATCTCTGCCTCCCATGTAGCTAGGATTACAGACATGAGCCACTGGTGCCTCACTCTTGCAAGGCAGGTGCTCTACCACTTGAGCCACTTCACCAGCTCCAACAAATTATTTCTTAGGGAAAATAACCATCTCTCCCTCTCTGAGGTTCAACATATCCATTGTGCAAAAATGACCATTGCTATGCTCTGTTTTTTTGTTCACTTGTTTTGGGGTGTGTTGAACCCAGGGCCTCATTCATGTGAGGCAAGTGCTCTACTACTTGAATGGAGCCCCTAGCCTCCTCTGGTGATTTTTGGTTTTTGGTGGGGTTGGGGTTGGAACTCAGGGCTTCACACTTGCAAAGCAGATGCTCTACTGCTTGAGCCACACCTCCAGCCATTTTGCTCTGGTTATTTTGGAGATGGGGGTCTCTTGACCTATTTGCCTGGGCTGGTCTTGAACCACAATTCTTCTGATCTCAGCTTTCCAAGTAGCTAGGATTCAGGCAACAGCCACCAGCACCAGGCTCACTCAATGATGGATTTTAAATGACTGGAAGGAAAGATATCATGAAAATCTAATGGTTAAAGTATCAGGATTTTCAACATTTTATTTTCCAAACTTTATTTTAAAAGTACATTAAAAGCATCAGAAATACAAATCTGGCCTAATGGTTAACGTAAGAACAATTATTAAATGGTTTTAGAGACATCACATACTTTGCATCACAGTAAAGCATCAAGAGAACTAATTAACGTACTCTCAAATTAATCATATTCAACTGAGTTCTCTTACTCTGAGTTCTCATTTTAGCCCTTATGAAGAGACAAGTGATATATGTCTATCTATACCTACACGGTATAGACATTACCTGTATGGTAATACCATGTAGGTATAGAAAGTCATACATAACTTATGAAGAGACAAGTTATATCTATATATCTATATCTATATCTATAAGTAGATATAGACATGGAGAGGAGCTAAGAATCTAGCCCATTATGTTTTTCAAGCAAGTTAAATCAATAATTTCTTGATGAGCAAAAAGAAACTGAATTCCTTATACACACATGCCTAGTTTTCTTTATGCTACAATGTTTACCACCCAAAGATGGGTGGGCTCCCATGCTGGTCAAATCATCTCAAACTCAAAGGTCAGAAAATTTGACATGTAAAATTTTACAAGTAGAAATTATTTTTGTTATAAGCTTTTATTAAATCGCATTTAAAATTCCTGTCCAAAAAGTGAGATGTATACATTTTTTTGAGATTTTTATCACCTTTAAAAGTGTGAAACACCTTCCTGATTAATTATAAAGCTATTTGGTTTCTTGGACTAAATAATAGGGTTTAAATTAAGACAAAAATCTGATTCATAACTTGCCACCATTCTTTGATCTTGGGAGAGGATATTAGATTTAATTCTTTTTTTTTCAAGTGGGAGAGTTTATTGAAATAAAAAAAGTGTAAAGTGGGAGAATTGAGCCCCCAGAACCGGGTGGCGGGGGGAGGGAGGGCAAATGGGTCCCAAGAGAGAGTGCCCTAGATTTCTCAATTCTTTGTTAAAAAAAGGTAATATACTCACCTATCTCATGGGGCTATTAATAAATGAAAAGTGTTGCATTAAAAATATAAACGCACAATCGAAATAGGTAATAGTGACTTCCAAAAATAGCATTCAATTACAAAAAAAAAGTGAGAGTGAATATGTTCTCTTCTGTTATAAAATTTAACAGCAAAAATAAAGTGAGATAAGGGAGGGAGGGAGGGAGAATGCAAAGGAGTACGTGAGTCATTCCTAAAAGGTGAATTTAAAAACAAAATTTACACCTTGCACCGAAATCTCAGAAATAGAAGTAACCAGTGAATGCCAGAACATAAGAGTTGCTAGATGAGGCTGAGCTGAGCTCTAGTTGGAAATCTACTCTGTCTTCTCCCCATCCCACCCCACATCCATGACCTCCGTGTTTGGAAAGAGCCTGAGGGAGGATGCTATCAGTTCAGTGCCTTTCATCCAAAGGAACAAAGTACCTTCTGATATGCAATCATGATTCTTAACTATAACAGTTTATAAAGTCAGGTTTTGCATCTTAATGCTTGTCTTGAGTCTAATAGTTACAGTTTCAAAATTCTAGTGAGTTCAAATACTAACTGTATAATGAAAATATTTTCACATAAAAATATGAGTTCACAGTTGTTATCCTAGGAATCACAGAATATAGAATAAAATCAGTTTTATGTATAGAAATACTTAATGTAGTTGCCCATTTCCAGTTTAGGATTAATGGAAGAGAACTAAAACAATTAGTTTAGAAATAGATTCACCTTGAGAAATATCTACTATAGTAATATATAAATAGACAAAAAGTTATTTCTAAATAGTTACTTGAATTCTGTCAGGTGCTAATAAACTTTTCTCACACAGAAGGAAAACACAAATCAAAACCCTTCCAACAAGACTAAAGATCGCAGAAGGCATAATAATCTACCTTGCCTCCCACGTAACAGCCCCCTGCCTACGATGACCGCCTGCAGTCCCACTTCACTAGTAGGATTCTCGGATAAGATCATTTCGACACAGAATAATTCACTTATAACAAACAAAAACCCCTTTCTTTTTTAAAAGAACTAGACAGCTACCCAATTAACACATATAATAATGTCTATATAAGAAATGACAAGAATTGTAATTCTATATTCTCAGTTACATTAGAAAAGGAAAGAACTTAATGTTGGCATTTTGGGTGAGGACCGAAGTATAGGTAAAATATTTTTGATTTTTTATTTTAACAATATGTTGTTTATTCAAATCAAGCTGCTACCAAAGTGTTCCTTACTTTAAAGAATCAAATTTTACATTTTTATAAAAATAACACTTCAGCAAAGATCATACTTTCAAATTCCTTAAAAAAGATCTAGCCAATATATACTCTGAAGCCCCAGAACACAGAAAAAAGATGCAGTCAGTTGATTTTCTACGTTAAGGTTGTAGCGTACTCATTCCTGGCTTCTGTTTAAAGGTTCAGTACAAAAGATTGGGGCACAAGTCAGGAAAAAAATCTAAATAAACTTTTACATCAAATCTTAAAATGGCAAGGATCTATGAAGCAAATCCAGACAGAAGACAATCCCAACTGTCAACCCTTCAACTGAATCTCTACATTTTAATCTGCCACTGGCTTCACAGTCTTTTCAAAATCAACCAATATTAGAAACAAAAGCCACTGGCACAATATTCTCTACGTGCATGACTTTACACCGAGGGGACTGGGATCTGCCTGGCTGATGTGCTGTCATATTCTTGCATTAAGTCGTTAGTGGTGTGATAGTGCATGGCAATATATGAACTGGCAAATCCAAAGGAATTCAGTGGCTGCAAGTTCCTTGGACTGCTCTCCTCCTGGGACGGGCTGCTGTTGTAGATGCTGTAGTATGGCTCAATCCGAGTGTTGATGGGGGTTGAGCTGCTCTGACCACAGTGCTGATGTCCAGCAGACACTTTGGGACTTACCACACTTTCCTTTGAATGACTTGGGCCACAAGCCTGGTCCACAAATTTCTTCTGTGGCTTCGGAGATAACATGTAGGCAGAGTTTGTTTCATGATGGGAAGATTTGTTTCTGTTGATTTCAAGGTTCCCTTTGCCCATGGCTCGAAGTCGAGTCTTCTGTTTGCAGCAGAAAAAACCCAGGCCGATGTACTGGAGACACCAGAGCACTTTCCTTCTCAGCCCAGCACTGTTCCGAGAGTAGATAAAAGGGTTTAATCCGGACTTGAAGAAGATAAGGGTAAATCCAAACAGTTCAAACTGGTAAAGGATGAAGCTGCTGTCACTGGATAGAACCACCTGTACCAAGGAAATCCCCAGTGGAAGACAGCACACCAGGACCGACAGCACGATGACCACACAGGTGACCACGGCTTTGGAGTCCTTAGCAGTGGAGAGGTTGATGGCTGACACCAGCTGGAGTCGACTGGCTGCAGGGGTTGACAGTTGGTTGGGACTCTTGGGATATCCGTGAGTCTGAAGGTGCTGCAGTTTGTTGTAATTCTGGTTCCTGTACAAAGCCGGCATGGAACACTGGCTGGGGTCTCCAGCTCCCGTCACAGGGGCCCCCATGAAAGGCTGTGGTCTGGAAGCATCCACCGTGATCACAGGAGGGCACTTTCTGACTTGTGCATTCTTCCGCAGGGTCTGAGCGATCATGGTGTAAGAGACAGACACCACAGCAATGCAGAAGGTGAAGTCAACCACGTAGAGAGACAGAACGGCTCTCCCTTCTCCAGCCATCAGACTGGACGTGGGAAGACAGAGGTGGGACTTACTGGTTTTCAAGGTCGCCAGGGTGGCAAGGGTGAAACTGGTGGCCCAAAGAAGCAGAGTGAGGAGCAAGGTGCAGGGAAAAGAGGCCGTGCGATTGGGCTGCTTCCCCAGCACCATCCGGAGTCTGTGCAGGGCAATGACTGCCACCGTCTTGAGGGACATGATGATGAAGCCCGCACTGGTGAGATGGAAGGTAAAGCAGAAAGCGTCTGGGATATCACTGGCTGAGCTGAAGAATAACACAAAGGTGAACATGGGGGCCGTCACCCCACAAATGAAGAGGTCACAGAAGGACAGGTTCAGGATCATGAAATCAAAGTTTGTTCTGAATTTTCTGAAGGCTGGATCAAAGAAGGACAAGAAGACAATAAAGTTGCCATAAGAGCCCAGGCAGAAGATGACTGCGAGCAGAAAAGTGCAGGTCACCAAGGTGGCTGTGTGGATGAGATCCTGAAGGTCCTCTTGGAGAGAGGTGCTGTTTCCCCCCTGTAAGTGAGGCACATGGAGCAAGGTGACATTGGAGGCATCCTGAAGGGGACCTGTTGAATTCATCTTCAGAGAAAAACGTGCCTTCCTTCTGCTCTCCAAAATTGTCAGGGGGAAGGAATCAGGAGGCCCTCAACTCACAGATGAGTGACACGTGACAAAAGAGGCCCAAGGCAGATAAGCCTGCACACAAAAATGCACATCCAGAAACAGAAAGAGATTAATGTGGAAATAAAGGAATTAATACAGTGATCTCATCATTATTATTATTTTACAAATGCATTAGAATTTTTCACCTCTGTTCTGGTGTATCAAAAGCACTTCATGCCAGGTGCCAGTGGCTCACACCTGTAATGCTAGCTACTTGGGAAGCTGAGTTTGGAAGGATAGAGGTTTGAGACCAGCCTGGGCAAATAGTTCACAAGACCCCCCATCTCCAAAATAACCAAAGCAAAATGGACTGGAGGTGTGACTCAAGCAGTAGAGTGCTTGCTTTGCAAGCACAAGGCCCTGAGTTCAAACCCCAGTCTCACAAAAAAAAAAAGAAAAGAAAAGAAGAAATTATTGTCAGTCAGGCACCAGTGGCTCACACCTGTAATCCTAGCTACTTAGAAGGCACAGATGAGGAGGATCTCGGTTTCAAAGTGAGCCCAGGAAAATAGTTCTGGAGACCCTATCTCAAAAAAGAGCTGGTGGAGAGGCTCAAATGCAGGCCTGAGTTCAAACCCTAATACTGCAAATAAATAAATAAAGAGGGAAAAAAACCCATTTCTCTTCACAAGGTCCAACCCAGCAAATAAACATTTCCATGTCAGACACTGGAAATACACACACACACACACTCATGAACATAACCTCTCCATGAGAGATTGCAATCCAGTTGGAGATCAGTCTAGCTATGTAACTATGTAACTGCAGCCTGGTTGCAGGGTACTAGGGACAAAGAGAAGAGGGGAAGCTTGGTCCAGCCTGGGGAGGAGCTGGGAAGAAGGAAGAGACCTCTAGTGAGTGGGAGGCAGTTGGGTGGAAGATGAGGGGCAGGGAGTGGGACAAACAGCCTGGGAGAAAGGCGAATGGGTGTCTGTAGTAGAGGGACCAAGGCAGAAGCAGGACATCCTTGAAACCTAACCAGGAGGGTGCTGTTGATATGTGTCGTGTTGCGGCCCTTCACTTAACCTCCACAAATCACCTGCAAGTGCTGTTTTCTTCTCTAAGGAAGAACCCCTGACTTCCCAGTATCAGGCTCTTTTCCCAACTTGAAACTTCTTGGCCAACTACATATGCTTCTTTGGGGTAAAAAACAAAACAAACAAAAGACTCTGTGCAAGGCTGTATTTTTGTGAGGTGGGGAAAATCCAAATAACAAAGGATGTCTGGAATTGTCTTTGACTTTTTTTTTTTTTTGGCAGTGCTAGGGGTAGAACTCAGGGCTAGGCAAATGCTCTCCCACCACAGCGGCCAGGGATATAGCTCAGTAGAGCATTCCTTACTTAGGATAGGCGAGGTCTTGGGTTTGATACCCAGCACTGCAAAACAAACAAACAAACAAACAAACAAAACCACTCAGTAATCTCTAAACTGTTAGTTACCATTATTTCAACAGAAATGTCCTCATATTCTCATGACAAAGTAGAAGAAGGCATTTACTCACTCAATTTACGTTAATTATGCACGTGCCATATGGCAGCATTGTGAAAGATGCTAAAGGTGCAAAGATGATCAACACACACTCTTCACTTTAATAACTGCTCTTCCTCCTTTGTCTTAGTAACCTTCTTTTTCTCTATTGTGCAATGAAATTTAGTATACACTTACACAAATCTTCTACATTGTCCCCAAAGACCTATATGGCCTGGTGTCCAATCTGCTCCCAAAGATTCCAGCAAGGCAGACGAAGTAGTTCAGTGCTATGCTCTTGACAATTGAAAAGAACTTGCTTTACCCCAACAGTTTAGGAATAGCCAATAGCACTGGGGAGGTCTAGGGGCTGATGTTCAGAATTCTTAACCACCAGCTTGAGCTGGATCCCAGAGGCCTCCAGCTGTCAACCCTTTAGTTGCTGGATCAGGTTAGTGAGGGATTACTGCTGCTGCAAGTAGCAACTTGGAGCACAGTACAGAGGTCTTTTGGCATTTAGCCACAGTTACAGCCATGCCACGCCAGTGAGTTCAGACAAATACCAGTTCTGGGAGATCCATATAACTCCTTTATGAAGGAAGAAGATACCTCTTCTGTGCTTAATGGTCACATGGTTCGGATGGTGCCAGTGAGACCCAGCTCTTCTGTATTTTCATTCAGAGAAGTTCTATGGAAAATATAAATCCTGGACTTTTGTTTCTTGATGATTAGAATTAAATAGTAAGAATGGATAGCTCTTAATGTTTCCAATTAAAGACTGTATACCCCCCACCACACACACACAAAGACTGTATACCTGTTTCTGAACTCTTTTGGTATCTTTGTAGTGAAAAAGACAACTTTTTACTGTTGATAAAACATTGTTAATTGGAGGATTGGAGTTAATTTATGAAAAGTAGAAGGAAAAGTCCATTTGAGGAGCCAAGAAGAGCAGAGACATTAACTAGTGTTGCAATAATCTACCGTGCCCCCCACCCTACCTCCCCAACCAAGGGTTTCCTCTATAGAAGTAAAAATATAGAGTGAGGAGGAAGCAGGAATTCAGTCCAAGGAAATCAGAGGGAGGAAGATCTTGGGATCAGGATGCTAAGAGAAATAAAGTGGGAAATAAGGAAGGAGAGGAATGATGGATGTTACAAAGACCCCAGGCCAAGAGGTAATTAGGGGCTGCCAAGGGGAAAATGAGATGATGAGACACTCCATCTAATCAAGTATAAGAGAAAGGAGGAAAAACGATGCCTTGGAGGCACAGCTTTGGCAGTTATATATTTTATATTAGAATAATGAAAACATTTTCAATAGATTTTTAAAAATAAAGGAGAATTCCAGGTCAGGAAATAATAATGGCAATATGCCTGTCGATATCATTGGCATATTAATTTTGCTGAGTTCTTATGGTGTGCCGTGTTCTCAATGTTCTACACTATCAACTTACTGAATCCTTACAATGACCATGAAATAAGATCCACATCTTCTTTTTGCACATGAGGAAAGTGAGAGCCCAGTTACTGAAGTCAGTGGTAGATGCCTGGATCTGAACCTGGGCAGTCACTATTCAAAGCCCACACTCACCTCCACGCTACACTGAACAGCAAAGGGCTCAAGGGAGGGGTCCCTAGGTCAAAAGTTAATGACAGTGGCTGAAACTTATTGGGTAATTATTACAGTTAGGCCCTTATACTAGAGCCTTTATATAAGATATGAAACTATTTCATTCTCACAATAATCCTGTGAACTTTTTAATTTTTCTTTTTTTTTTCAGTACTAGAACTTGAACCCAAGGACACTCCAGCAGCCCTTTTTTGTGAAGGGTTTTGAGATAAGGTCTCGCAGAACTATTTGCCTGGGCTGCCTTCGAATCGTGGATCCTCTTGATATCTGCCTCCAAAGTAGCTAGGATTACAAGAGTGAGCCACTGGTGCCCGACCAATCCTGTGAATGGTCACGCCAAATTAAAGTTCCTGGAACACAAAATTCTCATATATCTATATATGCCCACATCTTTCTACCTACCTACCTATCTCTACACACACACACACACACACACACACTTCTATATTATACCTTTTGGGCAAGCCTGATGATTTTAGTTCCAGTACAAAGTAGTTATAAATCACTCCTATTGGGATAATTGGGGGTGGAGGTGGGGAAGAAGAAATCAGGAGCTTGAAAGAGAAAAGGGTGGAAAAACAGAAGACAAAATTGACAGAATGGTTTTGGAAGAGAAACTTTAGAAGCAATAAGGAAATGGAGAGAGAGTTAATCCAGAACTCCTGGGACTTTAGAAAGTTGAAGCTAGGCCGGCAGAGTGGCTCAACTGCCTAGCAAGTGTGACGCCCTAAGTTCAAAGCCCAGTACCACTCCCAAAAAAGAAGCTGAGATCACAATTTATGACAAAGTTATGGCAGAAGTATAAAATTCCGTGCTTGGGGGACCTAAATATTAGATGTTACCAAAGTTATTTTCAATGCTTTTTATCTCTGGGACCATAAACCAGTCCTAGAAGATGTGATTAAAGTCATAAAAATCAGAAAGATTTTAATTTTGAACACCAGTATTAAGCATGCATATTAGCCACACTAAGACAGAATGATTCAGCATCTGGCTATGAGGAGGAGGGACCCCGAAATAATAGGAAACCCAAACATCACCCCGTGGTGATTATTTCTCATTAAGATGTTGGAAGAGCCCTAATATTGTGTGCTGCTTTAATTACTTAATAGACATTATAACATTTTAAATGAGCCTTTACAAATTAACTCATGACCTCGATTCTTCCAACTCCTGTCTCCCTCACATGATGTCCCAAGTTTCTTGAAGGCAGGCACTTTCAGAACGTGACCCTCCCAGGGAGCCCAGCTCTGCATTTGTCCCTGCTGTATTGTGTGGCTCGGGAAAACCCGCAGGGAGGTCAGCAGGTCGCCCAAGGTCACTTGGGCAGCTTTGGCTGATTGCAAGCCTTTCGCAGGGTCTCAGCTGTTGAACCAGCTGTAAAGCCGGGGGTAACTGATGAGGTGGGGAAGGGAAGACCTGGGTCCTTCGACGGGAAGGATAAGGAGGCCAAGGAGCACGCTAGCCTGAGGACAGAGCGAGGTGGGAGACTTGGGGGGGAGCCGAGGTCGCCCCGGGCCAGTGACTGCTGGGTGGGGACGGCCCGGAGTTGAGGGGGAGATGAGGTAAGGAGGGCCTAGGCGGGTTATGAGAAGCGTATTCGAGAATCGGAAGAGGGTCGGTAGGGTGAGGAAGGCTCAGCCAGGGCGTGGGCGGTGGGCTGGGGGTGGGGGGTCCCCTGGGCTGGGCAGGGCAGGGGAACTGGTCAGGACCGGGACAGATGGCTTCCCTGCAGGCCGAGCTGAGCACAGGTGCGCGGGCCCGGCCAGGCCCAGCGCCGCCTCCCCCCTACCCCGCCCGCCGGCCTCTGGGTCCCCCCGGGGTCGCTGTCCTCCGGGGCCCGGGCACGGCCTCTCACCTGCCGGGTGGCCGCAGAGCTGCCCCTCCTCCTCCATCGGGCAGCCGGGACCCCAGCGCGGCCCGCCGCCCCGGATGATGCAGGGCGAGAGGCATCGTCGCCATTGCCGCCGCCTCCGCGCATCCTGGGCGCCTCAGCGAGCCGGGGGCGCGAGGCGCAGTCACGGAGACGCGGAGGGCGCTGCCCCGCCTCGGACACCCAGCCCGCCCGCCCCGCGGCCCCCCGGGGCACCTGCCATGGGAGGAGGGCACCTAGGCACCAGCAGTGCGCTCATGGCGCACGGCGGCCCGGAGGCTCGGCCCGGGGATGGGCAAGGCGCAGGGTCCCAGTTGGCTGGGCAGGTCCCCTGGGGATCCCTGGACTTCTCACCGTGCCCGCTGCTTACCTCCCCCCAGACCCTGGGCTTTCAAGCCGGCCTGTCTGGCTTCTCATGGGGCTGTCACTTCGCGACACTGATTTAAAAATCAAATCATTACAACAAAATGTTTAACAAACCAACTTTAACATGGATTAAGTGTTTGAAGACATTAGTGAATTTGAGGGAACTCAGCAACGAGAATAACTATTATGAAAAAGTACTAAGTATTTAAAAAAAAAAAAAAGAAAACCAGCAAGAAAACACCCAAGCTAAGAAATCATGGGTATTACTTAATTCTATATTGAATGTAACAAATCTCGAAAAGCAATACTGCAATGTATCCAGCTAGAAAAGAAAACAAACCCCACCAGCCTCTCCTCCTAAAGTGCACGTGTCCAAAATTTGTTAAAATGCCCTTAATTTTAGTCTGGGTCATCAAGTAACATTCTCGAGTGTGTTTGCTATTATGGACACAAAATAAAGCTGGTTAAATTATCCCTTCAATACCCCAAACTAGGGTATTTTCTGCCTCAAGAATGCTGTTTAACAACAGAGAAAGTTATTTGAGTGCCGTTTTTCTTTACCTTGTACCAGAACACCAGGAGCACTGACTCCATTCAGATGAAATATTCAGTGGGAATGTTGCTACTGCAATCTCCATTACGACTAAGATTTTTCTTTCTACAGAGAACTATCAAGTACCAGAGAATTTGATTTATGCACAAAATTTCTTTCCCAGTTCCCTGTGCTTTTATCAATACATACATACAATCGGTGGCTCATGCCTGTAATCCTAGGTTGAGAACAAGAGGATCAAGGTTCCAAGTCAGTTCAGGCAAATTGCTCCCAAGACCCTATCTCCAAAATAACCAGAGAAGGGGTGGTGGAGTGGCTCAAGTGGCAAAGTGCCTGCTTAGAAAGCAGAGGCTCTGAGTCCAAAGCCCAGTATGCCAAAAAGAAAAAGAAAAAAAAGTATTCTTCAAAATAACCAGAATGCGGACTGGTGGTGTGGCTGAAGTAGTAGAGTGCCTGTATGAAGCCCTGAGTTCAAACGTCGTCCAAATAAAAACAAAAAATAATTGCAAGCTCATTTCCAAACATTTGGCCATGCAAGGAAATTTACCGTAGGTTTGGGCTGATTGGTGCCATCAATTGCACCTATGGGAGAAAGGACCTCATACTGAAAAATCCAAGTTGTAAAGGATTCTAGAGCTCTAGAAGATGAAATTAGGACTCATCAACTTGTTCTTGCTCAAGAACAAGTTATGCAGAGATGTAGCTTAGCAGTAGAGTGCTTACCTAGCATGTGCAAGATCCTGGGTTCAATCCCCAGCACAGCAAAAACAATAACAAGTTATGAAGTCTACAAAATATACCAGTGAAAAGTGATAAATTGTAAAGAACACTGGTATAGTAGTTAAAAAGTGGAAAATCTGCAAATAATCAAGCAGGGCTGACAGTATGTTCAAATATGAGTGGCTACCTGCAGTGAAACCAGCATTCCAATGAAACTAATTGCGATGCAAACTGATACATTCTTACTCGGAGGAAAACACACATCAAGGTAAATGTTTAGATTATTGACCTAAAAATCTCACTCCTTGCAAATGCTTCAAAAGAAAGAAGTTGAAGTGTGAAGGTATGAAAACGTGCATTGAAATGTAATTTGTAGTAAACGGAAGATAACCTTTATGTTCAACAATGGAGCAATACTCAGCAATATTTGTGTTAATACAACAAAATTCACAAAGGTACCTATAAAGACTACATAGAGAAAAAAATTTTTTCAATAAAAAGTCTTACTGGCTCTTTCTGACCACACTAAACACCAAAATTGCCCCTCAACTTAAAGGGCCTGGCAATGCCAAGTATGTCAAGTAGTTGAAAACTTCTATAAAATGGCTAAGAATGTATCTACACTTCACTTTTAGTCATCCACATTAACAAGTAATTTTTCCTCCATTTTGAAAGTTTGCCTGTTTTTCAAAGAATCGATTTAGAAACTAAAGAATTAGATTTTACAACCTCAAAGAGGTTTTCTCCTTTCCTCACTTCTCAGCAAAGCTTCAGAAACCTATGCTGTCTTCTATGCCCAATCAACAAGGCCTGGAGAGCACTACCTGCCTCTCCTTCCTCCCCTACCAAATCTCACTGCCTCCCCTGACATGGCTCCTGCTCCGACCATTGCCACCCTATGTTATGCAGCGTTATGTTTTAAGTACTGCAGATATTAGCCATCCAAATCTTTTCTCTCCCTTCTCCCTTTCATTCTTGAGGCCACTGGTAGAAAGCTTAATGACATAATTTACAGATTAATCTAGGTAAATATCAAGGAGATAAGCAGCATCCAAACCTGGCATCAGGAATCAGCTGGGGAGCATGTGAGGCACTCAGATTAAGGTGCTCTGCTTTTAAGTCTAGAGCAGGCCTTAAAGTCTATTTTCACCAGTGGTTCTCAATCCCAACAGGACTACTACATCATCAGGGAGCTTTAAAAAGATGTTAATAGCCAGGTGCTGGTGGCTCACGTCTATAATCCTAGTTACTTAGGAGACAGAGATCAGGAAGACTGTGGTTTGAAGCTAGCCTGGGCAAATAGTTCACAAGACCCTATGTCGAAAAAACCCATCACAAAAAAAGGGCCGATGGAGTGGCTCGGAGGGTAGGCCCTCAGTTCAAATCCCAGTACCGTAAAAAAAAAAAAAAGCAAAAAAAAGTCAATGCCACAGCTTCATGCAGAGATATTTTTATGAGGAACATACTGAGCACCCAGTACCTTACAGTCTTTTTAGTTTCCACGTAGGGACCATGGCTAAGGCATAGCTTCATATAGCTCAGTAAGAAAAAGTCAACATATAATGGAAGGCTTCCCTACTCAAAGTGTGGTCTTAGGACCACACACTGATACCATGAGCTAGGACAATGAGTAAGAAGTTACATTTTAACATAATTGTCATAATTTTAGCACATTAATTTGAGAATCAATCAGCGAGGTTGGTGCTATCCAACAGAAGTTTCTGTGATGATGGAAAAGCTCATCTGTGTTAGTCAATGTGACTAAGCACTTAAAATATGCCTAGTGAGACTGAGAAAATGAATTTCTTAATTAAATGTAAACTGTCACATGTGGCTACTAGCTACTGGGACAGGGCAGATCTAAGTAATTCATTTTGATCAGAGGGAAGGAATTTACAGATCCAAATCTATGACTGCAAAAGGAATCCACAAGAGCCAGTGCCTAACAGAACTGTCTTCTCCTATTAATGAAGACAAAAGCCAGGTGTTAAAAACAATCCATTTATTGGGTTTTAAACTAGTTACACAATTGAAATAATCTGTTTGGCACTACTCTATACAGGGATTACACCTGTGTATGCTGACATGTCAATACTGTACCAGGACTACTGCTGGGCTTAGATTGGGTCATTCAGCAAGTAGATACTAAAGAATATACTGTAGTGCTCCTTTAAGGAAGACTGGACAGGGTGAGTTCCAAGATGACATTCACCAGCTTGTGGATTCTTTCAAACGACAAGATACCTTGCACTGTAGAAACTTGCCTCGGGCAAACATGGTGTGTTAGCATTTAGGAATGCACACAAAAAAGTTACATAAAAATTCAGACACGCTAATGATAAATGAACTAAAAGAAATCCCACATTTCAGCTTTTGTAACATTAAAAGATAAAGAAAATAATTTAAAAACACAAAAAAAATGGCATTCAATGGGTTACAAAGCCCAAAATCACTATAATAAAGAGCTACATGAATCTTTACAAATTAATAACACAATGCTGTGTGTAAAAGGCTGCATCTGTACAAAGTCTGGCCAATGCTAGCTCTACAGTTTATACAATCCTTTACATCTATGTAACATATATGAAACAAGTCAACTCAATACCAAGCCTTATTATTCTCTCAACGATTCTGTAGGCGGGGGGAGGGGGAAAGAGAAGAGAGAAAGAAAGAACAAAAGAGAAAAAAATTACAGAATGTCCACAAATACAGCAATCTTCCATTTAAGTGAAGTGTAACAGCTTTCAGAGGGGGATTGAACAATATTTGTAAAGAACATAGGTAAAAATCAACCAGTCAGGATGTTAATTGTTGTTGTTTATTTTTAGAATCACATGTTGTACACACACAACGAATCAATCAAAATTTATTCACCAAACCCCGGTTTTTCAATAACTGGCTCTACTCAGCACCACAAACTCCAGTCTGTGGGGAGCACACAGACATAGACTTCTGTGGCTTGGTTGAGCAATCCTTAGTCATCGGTTCAGTTTTGAGACTTGCCCTTCTTTTTTCCTTTCCTCTTCATGGCTCTCCAGACCCAAGGCTCTCAAGTCTTCAGATTTATGGCCCACTGCCCTACCACCATCTAAACCTAACAGCCATTTGGGAAGAATTCAAAATAATTTGAGATGAATGAAATGACAGGACCTGTATTACTGACGGGCATTCTCCATGCCAAGAAATTGTTCCTTAATGAGTCCTGGACTTTGTTTGGTCTTGGACACCATGATCATACTGGGTAATTATTTCTGGTCTGAGACCCCATGACTTTGTCAGATGCCTCAAAGAAAAAGTGATCAATATTCTGGAAACAGTTCCAGATGAGTTAGGAAATCAAATGGCAGCTGAGAACTTGTGGAACGCAGACTGATGAGACCAAACACAGAAACCACCAAAGTGACAAGAGTTCAACAAGAGGCAGAGTTCTAAAGCCTGCAGAGAGCCACCACAGATGGTACCTGAGGATCTGGAATTTTTGATGAAATGAGCCTGAAGTGAGGACTAGTCATCTGCATCAGGGAGGGGGAAAAAAAAAACAAAACCTCAAT